CTGCAGATTTTTCCCTTTCAGAACTTTGAATATAACACTCCCTTCTGGCCTGCAAAGTTTTTTCTGAAAGATCTGCTGAGTGTCTCCTGTGGTTTCCCTTGTATGTAACTGCCTTCTTTTGCTGCTTTGAAAATTTCTTTAGAACTTTTTTTTTTCTATTTTTAATTACTATGTTTCTTGGTGTGGACCTCCTTAGGTTGAATTTGGGGGGGGATCTCTGTGCCTCCTGGATCTGGATGTTTCGTTCCTCAGATTAGGGATGTTTTCAGCTATTACTTTTTCAAATAAATTTTCTGCCCCCTTTTCTCTGTCTTCTTCTGAGATCCCTATAATGTGAATGTTACTACACTTGATGGTATCACTGAATTCCCTTAGGCTGTTTTCAATTTGCATAATTTTATTTCCTTTGCTCAGCTTGGTTACTTTCCATTACTCTGTTTTCCAGGTTGTTAAGTCATTCCTCTGCTTCATCTATCCTGCTATTTATTCCATCAAGTGTATTTTAAGTTTCATTTATTGTGTTCTTAATCTCTGCATGGTTCTTTTTTTTTTTGTACATTTATTTTTTGAGAGACAGAGCATGAGCAGGGGAGGGGCAGAGAGGGAGGGAGACACAGATTCCAAAGCAGGCTCCAGGCTCTGAGCTGTCAGCACAGAGCCCGACGCGGGGCTCGAACCCACAGACCGTGAGATCATGACCTGAACTAAAGTCAGATGGTTAACCGACTGAGCCACCCAGGTGTCCCCTGCATGGTTCTTTTTTATCTCTGTGTTAAGGGTTTCATTGATGTCATTCACTCTTGTTAAATGAGTATCTTTATGATCATTAAATTCTCCATCAGGCATATTACTTACATCCATTTTGCTTAGGTCTCTTGCTGTGGTTTGGTCCTGTTCTATCATTTGGGGCATATTTTTCTGTCTCCGCATTTTGTCTAACTTTCTGTGTCTGTTTCTGTTAGGAAAGTCAGCTACTTCTCTTCCTTTTAACAAGAATAGCCTTATGAAGAAGAGGTCCTTCAGTGCCGTGCAGTGCCGTGTCCCCTGTTCCCCAGGGCCTGGCACTTCAAGGAGTATCTTCTATGTGTGTTGTATCTTCTCTGTGGTTTTGTCTTAGCCTCTTCTTTCTTCAGTCCAGCTGTCTGCAGAGGCTTTCTTTGCCTATTGTGGGCAGTGTTTGGTCCCCAGTAGAGATGGAACACATTTTAACAGTGTGTGTAGTGGTCTGCTTGGGAAGTGAGACCTGACCTTCCCCCCGCCTCAACTGCCACCTCCAGAACTGAGGTCCCACAAAACATGAGTCAAGAGATGTGTTGGCAGGGTTTACACTGACCTTTTGGGGTGCGGCCCACAACTCCACGACTTAAGGCGGATGAGTGGGAAGGATGAGTCCACAGAAGTGAGGAGGGGTGGAGGGTGTTGGTGCAGGCGATTTAGGTAACAAGTGTCAGAGCCAGAACCCTGCTGTTTGGGTTTTTTATACTTGGGGGTGGAGTAGGGAAATGGTACCTGTCAGCTCCTTTGTTCCTAGAGCCATCTTCCTGGTTGTCCCTGTCTTTCCAGGTCATGCTCTAGGATGAGCAAATTATTCATCTCTCAGCTGCCCCTGGTGCTTTCCAAACTACCGATTCCTTGCTGTATCTGCACTGGCTGTGTAGTTTCTTGGGGATGGGGGTGAGGGGGGTGAATTCTGCTTCCTAATGCCCTCCAGGTTCTCCTAGAGCAGAGCCTGCAGAATTTAAAAATTCCAGGCTTTAAATCCAGCTGGTTTGTGAGTTGTTACTCACAAAATTCTGCCCCTCTTGCTTTCAAAGGCAGGTATTACGAGGTATACATCTTCCCTGTTCATGGGCTCCCAGGTGTGAAAGTCTCTTTTTTGCCCTTCTCCACACCACCAGCTCCGTTCCCACTGTGGACCACATCTTGACCCTTCCTACCTTCGGGTGTGGTCTCTTCTCTACCTTTAGTGGAATTTGTTCTGCCAATCTGCAGATCGTTTTCTGGGTTATTTATGTTGATGTATTATGTATCTGTGAGACAAGGTAAGCTTAGAGTCCTCCTACTCTGTCATCTTCCCAGCCAAGCTAGTTCTGCTATTATTTCAGTTTCTACTTACTGTATTTTTTCCCTCTTGCTTTTCATTGAGTAGCAATGGAAATTTTTCTTCTACCTGCTTAAAAGTAATAATACATGCCACGGGCACCTGGCTGGCTTTGTTGAGGGAGCATGCGACTCTTGATGTCGGATTGTGAGTTCAAGCCCCACGCGTTGGGTGTAGAGGTTACTAAAAAATAAAAAGTGGTAATACATTCCAGGTTTTTTTTCGATTTTACTCAATAGTAATCATTTGTTTACCCCAGTTGGTTTAACTGCCATCTAAGTCTTCCTGATAAGACATTATACTCTTATGTTCTTGGTCTTCCTAACCATACCATGTTGGTATTCTTTGGAATTTTGGTTTTGTATTGTTGATATACTTCATTTTGTTTTCCATTGGCCCTAGCTGTTTCAGATTACAAACTTTGCCAGAATATTTTATTTGCTCGCCACTACTTCCTATATCTCTTCTCATGTCTAAATATATTTTTTGTATTTGACCACTTCCAAGAATATTTTTTAAATGGATCTTTTGTGAAAATAATTTTGAAGGTTTATATTCCTGAGAATTTTTATAAACTCTACCCCCAACGTGGGGCTCAGCCTCAACAACCCCAAGATCAAGAGTCACATGCTCCACCAACTGAGTGAGCCAGGTGCTCCGAGAATATTTTTTTTTCTTTAAATGTTTATTTATTTTTGAGAGCGAGCGAGCCCATGAGCAGGGGAGGGGCAGAGAAGGAGGGAGACACAGAATCCGAAGCAGGCTCCAGGCTCTGAACTGTCCGCACAGAGCCCAACGTGGGACTCGAACTCACAAACCGCGAGACCATGACCTGAGCTGAAGCCAGACGCTTAACCAACTGAGCCACCCAAGTGTCCCAGCCGAGAATATTTTTTATTACGTTCTCAAATGAGTTTTTCTTGATATAAATTTTGAGCTCAAAGTTCTTTTTCTTCAGCATTTTGGAAATGTGATTCTTTGTCTCTCACATAAGGATACTGTTAAGAAACCTGATGTCAGTCTGATTCTTCTCCCTTTGTAATCGATCTATTTCTCTTCTGGGAGCTTTCAGAATTTTTGCTTTTCTTAGATGGTCTTTAAAACCATCTCTTGCCGTCTTGCTACAGTGTTTCTGGTTTCAGTACGTTTTCCCTACTTATCCATGAGTTCTTTGATCTTTCTTTAATTCTGGTCTTACTACATCAAATATTTCCTTTTCTACCTCTTCCATTTCCTTCTAGGACTCCCAGTTACTCACATGTCGGCACTTCTGTTCTGCCCCTGGACTGCTGTCTTTTTCCTTTCCTGCTTTCTGGTGGTAAAGATCCTCAGGATGCTGATTTGTTTTGACCTGTATCTGTCACTCTATCCCATTCATTATATTTTTCATCCTGGGTATTTCCCTGTACTTCCTGTTCCTGTTTCACACTGCTAATGTTTCCCTGTACATTTATTTTGCTTTATTTTTAGTTCTCGACTAATGTGTGTATTTAGTTTGCTGTCTTTGGGGCTGAGGGTTGTACACCCCAGGCAGCATCTGGTTATTTTGGCCAATGAGCTCATGTTTCTAAAGAGCACCAGCTCCTGTCTAGTAACATTTATTGATGAACGGCCAAGGCCAGGCTCTATGCTGTCCATCCCAGTGAGATTAAGAAGGGGAAGGTAATAACCTCCAGACACCTCAAAGGCTCTATTAACTGCTTTACCAGTAGTTGCTTCAGATCCTTAGGAAGCAGCAGCAAGTTCCTAGTTGTCATCTTCCAGTCTGGGGCATTGGAGAGGGAAGGGTTTTTTAATCTCAAGAGCAGCCCAGCCAAGCCCTTCTCATCTCAGCAGAGCTTACGGCCCTGCCCTGACAGTGTCCCGCTGACACCAGTGAATTGACTGATTATTCCATGTGCAGCAAAGGGTAGACTTCTCACTTATGGCCTACCTCCCAGTTTATGATGACCTTCAGTCTCCTAGGCATACTTACAGGATTTGGGGGTGGTTTGTTGCTGGGTTTGGTGGTGGTTCCTCAGATTTATGCCATCTCCTAAGGTGTATTATTTTGGGGGGGAGAGGAGCCAGTAGTCTATGCCACTTTATCATCTTAATAAGGACCAAAGCCCCTACTATATCTTTACTGTTTTCTTTTTCAGTGTTTCAATGTTGTATTTTACGTGTCTCTCTTACAGTTTTACAAATATATCCAATCTGTTAACTTCAGTTTGGAAGTGGTGGTGGTGGTGACGGCAGTGGTGGTTTTAATGTCTAATCTGACAACTTTTGCCCATTAAGTGGTCACATTTTTAAAAAACTGCTTCCCCCCCTTCATTCCTGTACGGTTTCACTGATTGAAGTATTTTTTTCTTCCCTTGTCTGGTGCAGATGTTACATATGCCAGTTACTAATTGTTAATGGTGTCCTCAATATTTATAACATGAATAATTGACTTGAATCCAGGACCTTAGCTTACTGGAAGGACCTTAGCTTACTTTAATTTCAATCATTTGACCCCACCCTCACCCCCACCCCAATCTTATTTTGTTGTTCATATTTTAACTCCTTCTCTTTATTCTCCTAAGTAATACTTCTGGGAGCTTAGTAGGCCATGTTTCCCTGGAGTGTCAGCTCAGTTCAGCAGTGACAAGATCTGCCATCTTTTCCCTTGTTCAGCTGACATTTTCCTTTGAGAAGCCACATCTCCCACATCTCTAGGATGGATCACCCTTTTAGACTGTGCTCACCACAGGCACGCTCTGAAGTGCGTATCAGCCACTGTGCTAAGGAGTAGAGAGACAAGACGATGAGTAAGGGGACACTGGTGCTTTGGTAATGCTGAATATTTCCTGTACTCAACTGGAAATATGCCTAACAGGACAGCAGCATTGGTTTCTGGGTTTTGTCCTTTTTTCAGTGGGAAGAGTAGGGGATCAAAAATTCATCATCTCGGAGATAAAAGCATATCCTTCAGTGAGCTGTGGCTGAGGTAAGATGTAGAAATGAGCCCCACACCCCAAAACAGGACAAGTCCAGAAGGCCAGTAAGTGATCAAGTCCTGGTCTCCTGCCCACCTTCTCCTCCTGTGTAGCCTGACCTGCAGCCCTGAGGAAACCTGTATCCCTGGCCTGAAGCGATTCAAGCTTTTGCTTCTGTGATTACTTCCAACCTTCAGGATGGGACAGCTGCCGCTCCTCTTCAACGTTGCACTAGATACACACTTCCAGACCAGTGGTGCTCACAGTGTGCCCCCGGATCTGCAGCGTAGTGTCTCCTGGGAACTTAGTAGAAAGGTACATCCTCCTGTGCCAGACCTCCATCAGAAAGTCCACAGTCGATCCCCCACAGTCTGGCATCAGGCCTCCCAGGCTTTTGATCCAGCCCACAGACTTCTGCGAGGCCCAAGTTCTAATTCTGTCATTTATTGTATGTGGACCGAGTTATTTCTTGCTATGCCTCAGTTTCTGTATCTGTGAAAACAGAGCCAATTCTGCTCATGCCCAGGGGGTTTTTGTGCACAGGGCCTTGGGTAGGGAATGAGCTCCATTGTCCTCTCCCCTCCCCTTCCTGGGAGAGAGACTGTACACCAGCCCTCCTCCTACCCTATGTGCTGTGCAAGCTGCTCCATGAACACTGCACTGTGTTCTGGGGCATGAGGCCACCCCTATTGCTTTGAAAATCCAAAAGGGAAGCACAGGGGTCCAGAAATCTAAAGTCCACACCCTGGGCATTAGGACACTCTGAATTCCTTGCTTGGTTCAGAGGGTGGGGTGAAGGTGGAGGAATGAATCATTTTTCTGTTAACAGAAGGTTAAGAGGACAGAAAACCCCCTCCCTGAAAGCCAGGGGGGAGCAGCTGGCCAGCAGAGGCAGGGAGCCTGCACCAGTGGCCAGGCAGCGGCTGAGGCAGAATCTCAGCACCATCAGCCACACACACTGATGCCAAGGCCCACAACTTCCTTACTGGAGGCTATCGCATCCCAGGGATGCATAGGTGGCTGGACCCATGCAGTGTACACCCAGCAGTGTAACACAAAGCAGCACACCCAGCAGGTACACATACAATTAAATAGCATGTTTAATCATCTCACAACAGACAGTAGTGCAGTAGTGTAAACTAAGTTTCTTTTCAAAAAGTCACTCCCTCAAAGCTCCCATTCCCCAACACCCAGAATGACCATGGCTGAGGAACCAGTGACAGGGCCAGAGGGATTCAGGAAGTCTCTGCTCCAAGGAGCTAAAAGTCTGTCCAGGTAGCCTCACAAGTAGCCGAGAGCCCTATGAGGAGTTGATGTGCGCACATTCTGACACACACACACACACACACACACACACATGCAAGGGACACACAAGACAGAGGAGACTGCCATGGGGCAGTCGCACACATGCGCTCATGCCATCACATTCCAGTCAGCGTGTGACTGTCTCCTGCGGGCAGGGCATGGGGGCCTGAGTCCTGAAGCAGCAGGTCAGGAGGAAGGAAAGGGTCTGTGGCCAGCCCAGCTGTCTGACAGATGGCCCAGCAGCCAGAGGGGCCCCTCCATTCCGGAAACAGCCAGTCCTCCCCTAATCTCAGGCTGGACATGGGCATCAGTGGTGAGGACAGGGGGTTCCACTTTCTCTGGACCTAGCGAAAAGATAACGGCTCTGTCCCAAAGAAGAGGACAAAGAATGTGCCCACAGGCAGGCTCTCAGAGCAGGAGGCTGCTGGTGCTTGTTCTACAGCCAGGACTTGCTGTGCGGGTGCCCTGGGAGCAGCAACACTGCCAACAGGGAACTGGAGAGGCAGCTGGGAGCTGGCTGGACAGCCCTTGGAGCAGAGGAGGGGTTTGCGAAAAAGGAGGCCCTGAGGTGAGGACATTTGGGGGGGGGGGGCGGCTACCAGAAGGGTTTTAAAGAGGAAACCTCTTCGTTCACAGCTTCATTCAGGGTTCCCGGAGACAGTCTCTGGATTCAGGTGCCAGCAGCTCTCGTTGAGGGTATTAGGGTGGAGTGACCAGCAGATGCTGGGAGAACAGCTGCCCACGGACATGGGAGGTATGAGAACCAGCCTGGCAATGCTCTGGACTCGCACTGCCCACCCCTACCCTGAGGAAACAGACCAAGTAGCTACAAGATCTCCTCTCGTGGGCTCCTGGCCTTAAGTGGGGTCTGCCCGTTGGGCACGGAGCCATTCTGACCATGCAGGAGTTTGCCCTTCTCTCGGTCTGGCCACGTGAAGATGGCATCATCACTGTCCAGCTCCGACTCAGAGCGCATCAGGCTGCTGCTCAGCATTGGGCCTTTCTGTTTGATGCCTGCGAGAGAGAGGAGAATCCAGGCTCAGGAGCACAAAACCTTCCTCGGCCTCAGCCACACCCTGTACCCTTCTCCCAGCCTGAAGAGGAACAGAGGGACAGGGGAAATAACAGAACTGGGTTGCAATGTGGATTCCTTGTCTCCAGTATCTATTAGCTTTGGTTAACAGTGCCACCTAATGACCCATTCTCCTCTTGTTGAAATGTGCAATGTTTTATCACCTCCCTTTATGAACAGGATGGAGCTCCCACAGGAGGCAGGAAAGCACGACAAATGAGAACTCAGCTCTAGAGGACAAACTTTTCACCATACCCCGGCTCAGCATGGATGGTAAAGGGCTTGCCCGAGTTCCCGACATCAAGTGAGTACGCAGCCTCGCTCCCCACAGATGCTTGCTCTGGTTCCACTGCGTGGGTGCTAGAAGCAGAGAGCCTGACTGGAGTACCAGGGACTCCCAGAGACAGTCCCAGGCCATCAGTGCATCAGAACACACAAACAAGGACCCATAAGAAGCACCTAAGTTCAGAAAGGATGCTTGAGATTCTGCAAGCCATTGCAGTCACCTTCACTACCTATCCCTGTGGCTGCAGAAACCACACCGAAAAAACAAAGCCACAGGATGAGGCGTGGGAAGTGCCAACAGAAAACCCCACGTGGTAGTGTTCTGGGCCCTACACCACCCACCCTGGAGCTGACCTACCTCCTTTTTGAAAAAGGTGACCAGACAGGTGAGGTATGTTTGAAACCCCATATCCAATAGTCACTTCCCTTCCCCCTGGTCCCACCCAGATCCCCCAAAACACTGAAGTAATGTCCTGAGATGCCTTCTCAGCCATTCTGCCCCTTCTTGGCCAGGAAAGCTGATACCAGTGTCCCAGGCTTCTCCAGTGTGGCGGGAACAGTGGGCCAACATAAGAACGAAGCCCAGGGGAGGCTCAACCCCTTCCCCTCTGTGCCTGTGAAGCCTTCCCTCCCATGCCCACATGAAGCTTCCCTTCTTCCCCCAAGCCCTCCTTCCTCCACAGCTACAGAGGACAGGAGCGGGAGAGGGAGACATGCACCCAGCACCACACCAGACAGCACTCACCCAGGGCCTTCCCACACTCACTCCTGCTCTGCCTGGAGAACTGAGCGATCTCACCCACTAAACAGTACAAGCTGGGCCTGGACAGGAGCTTCTGCAGCCACACTCCTCAGAACAGCCACAACTGGAAAGAATTCAACTGCCTGTCAACAGTACACCTGCCAGATGTATTAATACAGTGGAAATTACACAGCAGGAAATGGACAAACGACTGCTCTGCCTGACAGCACGTCGGGAAGTCATAAGTGTAATGGTGAATGGAAAGGGCCAAATACAGTGATTCCCTTTATATAAACTAAAATATCAGAAGTACGTTGGCAGGAGGAAGAGGATGACGGGAAAGAAAGGGAGCTGATTATATGGGCACGTTCACTTGCAGGAAACCCATCCAGCTGTCCGTTGGGCTGAACCACAAAAAACTACCATTTTTATGGGTTCAAAAAAGTCACACACTATTAATTTCGTATGGTTCAATCTAATATGCTTCAAAAGAAAGCTTTGGAAAATCAATAGAATAGCAAAAACAAACCCAAAACCACAGTCGCTGAACGGAAAGCAGGTCTCCTGAGGCTTGCCTTGGGAGCTCACCCAGGCGGGTGCACTGGCTCCCCAGGCAGCCCTCATCAGAGCTCAGCCTGGTTCCCAGCAAACAGGGTCTCTGTCAGCGCGCTTCCACGTGCATTACCTTTCTTCGCAAGGGGCCTGTTAAATCCACGCTTCAACCTATCAGCTTCCGTGCCTTACGTTGACAGGCTTGAATCCCCTTCTCCCCTACCTGCTAGTGGCTCTGCTCTGCGGTGCACCCACTAATCTGTTGAGTCCACAACTGATCTGCTGGCCAGAGCCAGAAGACCAAGTGCAAGGGGGCGCTCACCCGTCCCTCAGCTACACACTGCCCACAGACAAGGGCCTCCTGACTCTCCTCTTTATCCTCCTGGTGACCCAGATGCAACTGGGCTCTCCCTTGCTGCCCCCCCTTCACTGGATGTCTGCCTCCTGCCCATTTTGCCTCTTCAACGCAGCACTTCCTGGTGCTATCACCCAGCCCTGTGTCCCCCACCCTCTCCTTTCTTGAACCCCATTCCCTCTCTCCTCAGGACCCTTACCTTTGTCTTCTGCCTCACCCTGCTTCACTTCTAAAGGACTTTTTTTCAATATTTAGGGCTTCCATTTCCTCACTGCATACTTACTGCTGGAACAACCTACATTTTCACTTCTGCTACCATTCACCATTCTACTCTAGCTCTTCAGGTGACCAGAAACTTCCCCAGTGTCATCTTCATGGACAATTCTTATCCCTGTCTGCAACAGCTAATACTGCTGACCGCTCCCTAACGGTGCACCTCTTCCCTCACTGACGGCCCTTCATGGGCTCCTCAGCTCTGGACTCTTTGGTCCCTCAACATTTTCCCCAGAAGGGATGTGACCCACTTTTGTTTTGGCCCTCACCAGCATCTAGAAGATTCTTACACTGACACTTGTAGTCCAACTGTTCTACTGGGTTCAACTGAATTCATCTTTTCTTACCCCAGCCGGCACTGCACTGATGTCTTAATTGTGTCTACAGAATCATTCTCTGTCCCTCAGGTCAGAAGTCAGCCCTGACCTTTCCCGTCCTCCATCCTGTTGACCCCATGTTGGTCGAGTCATCGTCACCTCCCTCTCGGACCACTGCAAAAGTCTCCTTGCTGGCCTCCACATAGGATATCTCCCCTTCAGTCAATTACAGGTGTCATTAGAGACTAATTTTCCTAA